GTGTGGGATTTGGAGCTGTATTATGTAATGGTCACTGCCCAGAGTTTTGTCCAGGCGCGACCATGTAGCCTGTTTGATGTATTATGTAAACGTCAGGTCGGGGGTCGTATCCTTTTCGTTTTCGATAGATGCCATAGTCAACACGCGGTTCATACGCCCCTTCATTTCCGTCGCCGTCAGTTTTCTGAAAGTTTACTCGACGGACTATCGATAGTCCTCTATCAAGTTTTTCGATACTAGCGATTGTTTCGCCATAACTTTGCATTACACGTACAAACATGGTACACTCTCTCTTCTGGCCCAGCAGAGAGGGAAGATGATTGGTACTGTTTCTTTGCATGTCTGATTTACTGTGGAATAGTCTCAAAATTTCATGGCTTCGGCAGCTTCGTCCGAGAGCCCCATCTTCCCATCTGATCTTGCGGCGCCATCTTTCGATACGCGCAGTAAGCAGACGACGGTGACAGCGTTTTTTTTTATTTCCACTGATTTCCACCGAGTTGTAGTGCAAGTTCTTGTATCAACAAACGTTTTTCACCACCACCACCGGGTTGTAGCGTACAGAACGCAGAACACAGCTCTATCCAATTATCTTCCTCATGTTTAATTACTGTTACCAACACGCTCGTTTTGTACTCAATTTTTGTAGTGCACGATTTTGCGTCCTATGCACAGATAAAGCAACCCCCCCCCCCCCCCCCTCCGCTTTGCGTGCGTACCAAAAATCCCCAAAGGGCCCGCCGATTAGCGTATACTACTCTTATAAGATCAAAGTTAGAACACGCCTGATCTATATGGTCTCCATAGCAATCTAGAATCGTTCATAACAGAGCCCTTTGTTTTATTTATAACAATTACTTACCACATACCAGCATATCAGGATTACGCCAATCAGCTAACGTTCATTCACTTTCCCTTCGCCGCCAAGTATCACGCCTTTCTCTCCTCCATCGCATTTTTTTTATCACAATAGCCACCTCAAAGAATCCCTGATATCACCTCTGCATCGTATTTTCCCGCGTCTAGATCACCTATCTAAATTACGTCCAATTCGATTATCATCTGTTTCTCACCAGACTTCCACACTACCATTGGCCATCCAGGATTGGCCCCACTATCTCACAACATCGTTTCTATTAATGATACTACTAAATTTGTTGAAGCCATTATACCTTCTCTTTATCTAGCCTACCTATCTAGCTTACAGTTTTACAATTGTGTTTACTGTTTTATCTTTATTTTGTTCTATTGCCACCCCCTTGTATAATGCCCCACGGGTCCTCAAGGAAAATAAATGATGATGATGATGATGGTGATTGTCGGCGGGAATCGTGTTTTGCGCGTCGCGCCCAGGTGTGCAAAGATATCGCGAATTCATACTGCGTATAGGTTGTTTGCACATGACGTCAATTCGCCATTTTGTTGTTAGTTTGTTTTTTCAAACTAATTTACTACATTGAAGGATTACATCGTAACCGATTGAGATGATGTCAGCGGTGCTCTACGCATTCGAGGGGGCATGTAAATCCTTGCAATTCTCGAATTTGTCACACCCAGACAGCTCACAACAACCAAATGGTGGACGAAATTACGTCAGTGAAAAAACCCTATACGGAACGTTTGAACGGGAGGCATGGTTGTCACGACTCACTAGGGTCAGGGGAACCCGGAGTGGTCCGCCACGCCCAGGCCCCCGCGTCAGTTCTTGAGGGAAAAGAGGGCAGGAAAGGAGGAGGCAGATGGAATACTAGAGAGGAGAGA